ACTACTAAATATGTATAGTACTTAACAAATTGAGAGTATATAGAATAAATAAAAAAATATATAAAAAAAACCCACTGAATTCGCATGAAATATATTGAAGTGAATAGATTTAAATAAAAACTATTACAAAATTAGTTTCGATAAATTCTATTATATATATATATATATATATATATATTTAAACTAATTATTAATTTTTTATAAAAAATTAAGTCAAATTATTTTTTAACTAATTATTATTTTTTAAAAAATAAGTTAAATTATCTAAAACATACTATTAACTCCCTCTCACTCTCTCTCTCTCTCTCTCTCTCATTAGAATTTATATATGCAACTACGCTACTTTCATTTAAAAATTATAAAAATAATCAATCATATAAATTATAATAGGATATTTTAAAAAAATAAAATAATCATGTTCTTAAATTTTTATTTCAAAATCAATATATAAAAAAATTAAATTTATTAATAAATAAAATTATATAAAAAATTAATTTGATGAGAATTTTAATAAGAAACAAACAATTGAAGAAATAAATTTTAAATAATATATATATATATTCAAATTAAAATATTAAAAAATATCATATATATTATATTACCGTCAAATTATACGTAAAACTAAAAAAAAAAAAAATTCTATTTGTGTAGGCCTACAAGCCGAGGCCGAGCTTGCTTAAGCTCGCTTCTCGTTAAACCTTTAAAAAGGAAATGCTACAGTAAATGACAGTAAAAACCTCATATTTTTTAATTTTTTTAGTAGTGTGCTTCAACTAACTTGTAATAAAAATAGTTGGTGCTTCGAATTGATCAAATAAATGCATAATGTGTGTTTCATATATTCATTCATATTCTCTCCTGAAGAATTGAGATGAAGGTATGTAATCTTTTTCTTTCCTAAATCTCCACTTCCTAGTAAAAATTTCAAATTTTACTTCTTTTGAGAGACAGATAATGCTAAACAAAATAAGGCATCATTAAATTATATATTTATCTCCCCCTTCAAAAAAAAAAAAAAAAAGGTCCGTTGACCTGCCAAAAAAAAACATGGTTGCGGTCATGAGATGCACTAATTGAACTGCCTCGAAGAAATTTCGCTGATATGGGTCAATAAATGTATACGCCACTACATTTTCGTTAGGAGTACTTTTTATTTGTAGTCAATGTTTATCTTTAAATGTTGAGCCATGTACGCGGTAGTTCAGTCAATACCTGTGATAAACCCGGGTAAGATAAAGATGTCATCTCATCTCATGTCAAATGCGTTTTTTTTAAAAAAAAATTATTAAAAAACAACCCATATATATAGGGAAAAATTGATTGATTTTAGAAAGATTGTCTCTGTAAAATAACGATAAAGATGAGTATAATTCTAGCATCGACACATTCTTACATGGATTTTTTTTTTTTTGATAACGTGAATGTCCGAGTCGACTTACGTATATTTCGACTAATTCTATAGATCTTGAAGTTAACGATCATGTAAGCCTTCAATGACTACTAAAGAAAGCAATCAGGACTTAAGACTCAAACCTGAAATCATAGAGAAAACAAACCTTTTGATATCAAATCCTTATCGTTGCGCCACCCTGATGGTTTGGATACCTTATTTTTATGAAGACAAGTTGGGTATGGCAGGATTATAGACTCCTAATGCAACCTAAAGAGTTAAAGTTCCACTTTAGAATGTTCCATTTTCAGACCCACTAGTAGTAGTAGTACAAATGAAATGACATTGACATGTATAAATAACGGTGATACAAAGAGTTTAAATAAAGGACAGAGTATGAAGTATGAAGAACCCCAACGTTAAATAATTATTGATGTTGCTTTAATTATTAGGATAACTTTTTCTATTGCAGCATTGCCAACACTCTCAGAGGCTCGGCTCAAATGATGACACATAAAGGTTAGGCTGTGATATAAAACAGTTTTAGTCTTTGGAGGGAAATTTTATTGGAAGACAAAAAAACCATCCATTTCCATGGCTGAAAAGTGGTACGTACTATATCTATATATATAGAATCCATGTAAGGAAGTCCAAAATGCAAAGGCCTCTTTGTGTCTTCAATTACGGTAATCTGTTTGTCTGCTGCTCTAATTATTAAAGCCTTTGCCAATAATTATAGACTCATGATGATAGAGAGAAGACGACATATTTAGGGGGATGATGTTCATTCAATCTCTCTCCACTCAAATTTATTTCCTTGGCAAGCACAGGCACCAGGCAACAAATCTTTCTTTGTTGTGATTGCATATACCCCGAACAAAGCTTGCTGAATCCTCCCCTCTCCTCTAAGAAACCAAGAGGACAACAAAATAGATAGGAATAATATCTCTTTCTTACTTTTTTTTTTTTTTTTTTTAATTTTGAATTTTGTGGATGTTTTTGCGAAAGTTTGCAGATATATCAAGTTCCACTTTTCTAGCTAGCTGAACGAAGACAAACTATTCCCACTAAAATTAAATATTTCTCTTGTTTTGTTTTTCAATTGTTTAATAAAAAAGAATGCTCAACAACAACTTAACAGTCCAACAAGAGTTAGAGGAAAAAATAATTTTATTTCTACATTAGTATCATTTTGGATATCGATCCAACTAAATGTCTTCAACATTGGAAATCAGAAGATCAAAACTAAAATTAATCATTTTTATTAATTTCTTAAAAACCTAATTAATTTCAATATATATATAAAACTAAAATCATTGGTTACTATTTATTGTCTTGTTTGAAATGATGTTCATCCAATTAATTCTTAATATTCACTTAGACTCAAATGCATTATTTATATATATATGCAATGGTATTTTTATAGTTTTTAAACATTTTTAACGATCCAACAAGAGTTATAGATAAAAATAATGTTGTTTCTATGTTAGTATCATTTTGGATATTAATCCAAGTAAATGTTACCATTCATCTGTATTATTTGAAATGTTGTTCATTCCAATTCATATGCATTATTCTTTTCTATATGCAGTAGTATTTTTATAGTTTTCAAACATTTTTAACGCCTTGACAAGAGTTAAAGGTAAAAATAATTGTTTCCATGTTAGTATCATTTTGGATATCAATCCAAGTAAATGTCTTGAACATGAGAAACCTAAAGGATTGAAACTAAAATTAATCATTTTTATTGATTTCTTAAAAACCTAGCATATATATACACACACACACTAAACTAAACTAAAACCATTGGTTACGATTCATTATACTATTTGAAATGCTATTCATCCAGATTCATTCTTATTATTCATCTTCACTTAGATACACTATTTATTTCCATATGTAGTAGTATTTTTATAGTTTTCAAAAGTTTTAAGACATTTATTATGAAAGTTTTCATGATATTACACTTTGGCTCTTCTTTTTTAAATATTATTTTTTAATCCACAAATATTTTGTATTAGTTTTCAAAAATAATGTTGTTTCCACAAATATCATGAAAACCATTGGTTACGATTTATTATACTATTTGAAATGCTCATCCAAATTCACTTCTGCTATTCATCCCGACTTAGATATATTATCCCTTTCTATATATAGTGGTATTTTTGTAGTTTTTAAACATTTTAAGACATTTATCATGAAAGTTTTCATGATATTACACTTTGGCTCCTCTTTTTTAAATATTATTTTTTAATCCACAAATATTTTGTATTTGATTTTAATCTCACTTTTTTGTTTCATTTTGATCATTTTTTTCTCTGATTTTTTTAATTAAAAATTTTAAGAAAAAAAGATGTTTAGAAAAAAATATTTTACAGAATAAGGTTTTAGCTAAAAATATGAATAAAGATAAATAAAAAATTTATGAAAATATAGAAAATAATTAATTAAATACAAAATTTTGATTAAAAAATAATAACATTGAATGAATTTTTATTTAGCTTTGATTTGATATACTTTAATAAACATACAATATAACAGAAAATATCAAAATAAAATAATTTTATATATTTTATTCAACAACAACAGTATCATAAAAAAAAAAAAAACTAACAAATAACTAAACTATAATTGTGCAGGAGACAATAGGCAGGCAAATCGGTAATGTTGGCTTCGTTGTAGAAAATAGAGAAAAGTGAGTGTCATGTCGGTGGAAAAATAAAGATACAAAACAAAACAATAATACATACAAAAACACCCGCACAACTGTACTGCAAGCAAACAGCAGAGACAGAGAAATCTCTCACACATATCTCTATTTCTCTCTCTCTCTCTGTATATATATAAAACATTTAAGCTATATAGTTTATTATTTACTGCTAAATTTATTTGATGTCGTAATCCAAATCTGAAAGCCCTCAAAATTCTCATTCTCTCACCTAGAAAGAAAATAAAATAAAAGAAAGATCTCTCTCAGATTCAGAAACTCAAAAAACATAAAAACCAAATTACCCAAAAACCCAAGTTCCATTTATTCATTACCAAACACAAAGCTTGTAATAAAAAAGACCACTTTCCTTTCTTCTTTTTGTTCTCTTGAACCCTCAAGGAATTTATTAAAGCTTAAGTCTATTCTCTTTACTCTCTCTATTCAGGTTCAACACTCTCTCTTTTGAACACTTTGTTTATGTTTTTGTGTGAAGCTTTGTGGGTTTGATTTGGTTTTTTATAAAGTAAATCAATTGAAGCTGGTGCAGGGAGAGAGAGGTGAAGTTTTGTTGACTTAGCTGGTGGTGAACTGAGTTGACTCAGTGGGAATTGTTGTTGAAAGGGTATTTATTTCTTTTTCTTTCGTTTGGTTGTTGATATAGCTAAGGAAAAGGAAATTAGCATCTGAGAATCTCTCTTTTTTGCATATATTTTGTGGGTGCGTGTTTAGATTCATTATGAAATGAAGAATTCGTATTTGTACTTGATGAAAATGATGTTGTTTTGATAAGTATTAGGATTTGCCCTTTTTTTTTTTTTAATTTAGAGAACCGATGATGTGACAATATGAGATTCTTGTTTTGTTTTTGTTTTTTATAGCTTTGGGTTGTTGTAGAATCAAATGTTTGAATGGTACTGTTATTGCCGTAGTGTAATTGGGTTGTTTTAATAAAATCATTTGAGAGCAAAGTTCCAATCTTTTCTATTCTGATTGCAGTGAGAATTAAAGTTTTTTGATATGATTGCCTTTGAGATATTGTAAAATTTGAAGAAAGGATTAGTCTGCTGAAGCTAATGGAGTGGTTAAGCTAGAGAAAAATTGGGCCTTGAAGATACGGGTTAATTAGTGTTTGCTTTCAAATTGTTACTGGGATGGGCTGCGAGTGTTCTAAGCTCACTAAGTGTTGTTGGAGTTATGACTATAATGGATCAGTTCCTGAGGAACGCAACGAGGGTAAGTGAAATGGGTGGTTTTTTTTTTTTTTTTTTTGAAATATATGTGGTGTCATATTGATCTTTGGAATGTTTGGTCTTTGTAGATAATGAAGAGACGAGTGAACTTGATGATTTGCCTGCATTCCGTGAATACAATATTGATACCCTCAGGATGGCAACATCTGGGTTTTCTGTAGAAAATATAGTTTCTGAACATGGGGAAAAGGCTCCAAATGTGGTTTATAAGGGGAAGCTTGAGAATCAGAGGAGGATTGCCGTGAAACGGTTTAATAGATCTGCTTGGCCTGATGCCAGGCAGTTTTTGGTAAGTGAAGCATATCGTTTTATATTTACCAAATATTATTTTCATTTAAGTCATGCCTTTTCCATTTACTGTACACAACTCCCACTAGCATAGTAATGTTCTTGTTTCTTAACTGAAATGTTCCATGACTTTAGGAAGAAGCAAGAGCTGTTGGTCAGCTGAGGAACCATAGGTTGGCAAATTTGCTTGGCTGTTGTTGTGAAGGGGATGAGAGGTTACTCGTTGCAGAATTTATGTCCAATGATACGTTGGCCAAACACCTATTCCATTGTAAGTTTGTTTCTGGTGCCCTTTTTTTTTTGCTTTAGCATTTAGTGGATATTGCGGGCTTCTTTCTTTTAAGTTTCAAGCTCCTGTGATGTATTCTGTCCTATTGAGCAATTATTATGCCTATTATAGGAAATGTGTGTCTGTGTGTGCATGCAGTAGATTGTGGAGGAAAAATAGCACCTTCCTGTTTTATAATTGCTCTTGGTTACAAACAACAATATTTGTACTGTTACAGATTTTTGTGATACAAAAATTGGTTTGTTCACCGTTGTTGTAGCTTGAGCTCCAGCTGTGCGTTTGGAGTTACTACACCAAACCATAACACCAAGGAGCAGTCTTGTTCTTTTATTTCTCTAAACTTTTTCTCACAACTCAATGTTTGCTTGTTGGTTGCTTCAGGGGAAACACAGCCAATGAAATGGGCAATGCGACTTAGAGTGGCTCTACATCTTGCGCAAGCTCTAGAATATTGTACCAGCAAGGGACGTGCTCTGTATCATGATCTGAATGCTTATAGAATTGTCTTTGGTGATGTAAGAATGTCATTATCTCTTTATGTGTTCTGTATCTTCGGTTAGGATTTAACAGAGTCCCTTTCCATTTCATTATTCTATTTCTCAGGAGGGCAACCCTAGACTTTCATGCTTTGGTCTGATGAAGAACAGTAGAGATGGAAAAAGTTACAGTACAAACTTGGCATTTACTCCTCCTGAGTATCTGAGGAACGGTACTCAATTCTTTCAAAGAAGCTAAATGTTCTTGCACATGCAAGCTTCACCCTATATGGCGTTTGGAATTATTGTTTCAATTAAATCCTGCATGGTGTATCACATTAATCATTCAAGTCCTTAACATAATTTAGCTCATCCAGTATTTGCCTAATCAGCTATCACAGTCATGGTTTCTTGATTAGCCTATCTCCTATATAACTTCAATTATTCATTCATTCTGTAGGAAGGGTAACACCAGAAAGTGTAATTTATAGCTTTGGCACCCTTTTGCTGGACCTTCTAAGTGGGAAACATATCCCTCCCAGCCATGTAAGTTTCCTCCTCAATAGGATCATTTTGATACAGAAATTTTAAGCATCTGTTAGTTTGTTTTATTGCCAATTTTTTTCAGTTGTTATGCTGTACACTTCGAAGGCTCTATCTTCTCACTGGAATCACTACATAATCTGGGACCATTGCCTGGGATAAATGCAGTGGTGTTAGCTAGACGTAGTTATTTGGTTCATTTTTATTGTTCTAGATGTCCATACATTCCTGAAATTAATTGTGTTGGCAGTTATACCTGATGTTAGTTTGACCTAGCATATTTGAGCAACAAAATGAAATTTGTTTTAACTGTGTTGCTTATTAACCATCTGAACATTTAGAGTATCACATTATTGGCATCTAATATTTTGCTGCACAATTTGTTTCAGGCACTGGACTTGATAAGGGACAGAAATATTCAAATGCTGACAGATTCTTGCTTAGAAGGCCAATTTACAAACGATGATGGCACTGAGTTGGTGCGGTTAGCTTCACGCTGTTTACAATATGAACCCCGGGAGCGACCAAATCCAAAGTCTTTAGTTGCTGCTTTGATTCCTCTTCAGAAGGATACCGAGGTTGGTTCTTATCTACTTAGTCTCAAGTATCTGAGCATCTTATCCTTTTTTAGCCCTTTAATTTCTCAAACAAATCCAACCTCATACAGCAAATTCATTTGCTCTCAAAGCCACTGAAAAAAAAAAAAAGAAAGAAAAAGAAAATAAAAGACATTCTTAGTCATAAACATAAGAATGACTATTCAATTGCATGACCTGATGCCATTGAAAAAAAAATAAATAAATAAATAAAAAATAGAAGACATTCTTAGTCATAAACATAAGAATGACTATTCAGTTACATGACCTGATATCCGGAAATGTGGTCTGTGAATGAAATAATCCTTTTTCTCGGGGCCAGCAACAAGCAGTACTTTTTGGATTTTCTTTTGTAGGTTCTAGCAACACTCTTTTTGGGATGGCTCTTTTCTGATCTATTGCTTTGGGTTTTGGAACTGATCTATTACTTGAATTTTTTATAAAAGATATTATGCCATTCTCTGCTGTCTTCCTTGTGTGAATTAAAGGTCTTGAATCACTCTATCCTTCAATGGACTGATTTAGTAATCTGTTTTGCAGGTTCCTTCTCATGAATTGATGGGGATAGAAGATGGTGCTGCAGCATTGCCTCTGTCACCCCTTGGCGAGGCTTGTTTAAGAATGGATTTGACTGCCATACATGAGATTTTAGAAAAGCTTGGGTATAAAGACGACGATGGTGCAGCTGCTGAGGTTCATTTCTGATATAATGAAATGGAAATAGTAATGAAATGCTATAATAGCATTCCATCACTGCGCTTTTATTTTCGGTTTCTTTAATTAGACATTCAAAGATTCCAGTTTTCATTATGTTAGATCATGGTGTTTTCTTAAGTTCTGCTGAAGAATACCTTGATTTTCATTTTTGGTAATACTAGATCCATGGAATTAAAAATTAAGAAATCGACAAATCATTCTATCTTCAAGGTTTTGCTACCCTAGCATCATTTTGACCTTGAACATTCAAATGCTTTATTTCTGGTTTTAGCATGGCAATATTACAAGAATATACTGGGACTTGTTATTTCTTGATTGGTTCTTGTTATATTGCTCAATGCTTATAATTTCCCCGTTAGCATTTATTTAGTTAGTGTTTTAAGTATTTGTAAGCTCATGTTTGTCTGTGTTTGCCATTTTTTTCCCCTATTGATAGTACATGGTTGCTAGTGACCACTCATTTAGTTCTTAAATCTCATTGAGTGCAGTCGTCCTGTGTTTGCATATATGTCATTGATTTCTTACATTTGTCTTGACTGGTTCGCTTGTAACATTGCTTCCTATGATCTGCTTATGTTTTTCTTTTTTACTGCCTTGTAGCTCTCATTCCAGATGTGGACCAACCAAATGCAGGACACATTAAATTCGAAGAAGAAGGGAGATGTTGCTTTCCGGCACAAAGATTTTAGAGCTGCCTCTGAATTCTATTCCCAGGTTAATTGGTTTCTGTTGCTTTCTAGATAACCTTTGAGGTTGGTTGAAGTTGATAAAATATGTGATTTTATTAATGTGGAGAATAAAAGTAGAGGGGGGCGTTGATGAATTTACAGTCAAATGAGAAAAAGAGTTTATTATCATTACAGGACATTGAGATCTGATAGCAGGATTCTTTTTGTAGGGTTAATGTATTTCTGGATCCAATCAAAAGTTCCAAATTGTTCTATAGATCATGATAAAAAAGTTTTCCAAAATTGAGCTCACAGTTTATCAATTTGCAGTTCATTGATGTTGGAACCATGGTTTCCCCAACTGTTCATGCACGCCGAAGTCTATCCTACCTCATGAGCGACATGTCCCAGGAGGCCCTAAATGACGCATTGCATGCGCAGGCAATATCCCCTATGTGGCATATTGCATCATATTTACAATCAGCAGCACTTTTTACACTGGGAAGGGAGAATGAGGCACAAGCAGCTCTAAAAGAGGGATCAACTCTTGAAAATAAAAAGAACGCAAATGCCTGATAGTAGGAGAACAAGGGTCAAAATAAATCTCTTAGTGAATTGCTCATTTCCTTAATACAACCACCATTGATGAACACAAGCTTCATTTCAAGGCAGGATGATCCAAGGTTTTTTGGAGGTTTGACGTCACAGCAAAACAAAAAAAACTGGCTGTAAATTGCCCCAATCTTCTGCATGCATTGATTGGTTGTCATCTTGAAGAATTCTTTTCGGAACATTATTTCATGGGTTAGGTTTGGTCAGTTTGTTGGGTGTTGCCATATTGGTCACTCATGCACATATGAACAATACCCTTGTTTCTGTTCACTGACCTTTTCCAATACAAAGATCTGGAGGAATAATTAAGACATTCTCGAGACAGATTACATGTTTGTAGGGGGAATCAACTGTTGTTTCAAATTGCTTTTAGAGGGTGAATAGAAAATGTTGTTGCAATCCTTGTAATTTATGTACAGTGATATTGGTTGTGGCTGCACAAGCAGAGGTGGAATTGGTGTTTTTGTATGCTAAGTTTTTTAATCAAATATCTTTTTTTGTTTTGTTTTTCAGCAGTGTTTAGTTATGTCCAATTGCAAGCTTGCACTTGTGGTGCAGGTAGAGTGTTTTTATTGGTCTCAAGGCCCTGCAAAATGTCTAAGCACGGTAAAAATCCTTTCTTTTCCTTTCTCTTGATGAGCAACTGGAGAAAAACATCACTCACTTGCAAATACGAATTGCCTGCCCCTCAAGGTAACTAATTCCATATATATATATATATATATATATATCAAAGGTCTCTCAAGTCTCAACATCCTAGTTAGTGTTGCTTAGTAAACACCATTCAAGTACTACTTCATCAATAATCTTAAATTCAAGATGTCCACTTGAACCCTTTTATTTCAGCACGGCCCTTGAAAATTGAAATCTTATCATCCATGTGATATTATTACATTATCAGCTTCAACATTAATATTTTTTGTTGAAAGAAAGTCATACTCTTCCTGATGTCGCCATTTTTTGGGACTGATGTCAGCCTCGTTAACTAAATTAATGGAATCGCTGCACCCTGTAAATCACTAAATTTAACTAATATTTCCCACAATCCATCTTTTCTTTTTAACTCATTCGAAAACCTAGTTAGTGATTTCCATGTATTTCCAAGAACTTAAAGAAAAAGAGTATTGCTGATTTTATTTAAAATTCTTCCTCAAATAAGTTCTCAAAATACTGTACCAGCAAGATTTGTTTCCATAATTTTTTTAAAAAATAAAAGAGAGGAAAAAAGAAGAAGAAGAAGAGAGAATAAATTGGAAAAATTAGTATTTGGAGGCTAATTGAAAAATTAAGAAAAGTGGAGACCAAAAGAAGTTCAATGGAGGAGTGTAATTTACAAATGTGAGAAGCTAATGGTTTTAATTGAGGATAGAATCGGTCGAATTGAGAGTTGAGAGGGAAAAAAATGTTGAAAAAGCTCACTTGAGGACATAATTGAAAAATAATAAAGAAAAGGGGAATAAAAAAACATAATACGTAAGATGCGTGATCAGATTAAACTTGGCCATCAATCCCTAAAAACCAACATAAACCCTTCTCTTTTTATAGAAGCCAGCCGATTGCCCCTCCCAAAAAAATTCCGGCGGACCACAAACCTGCTTGCGGTCACGTTGCCGACCACAAGCACCGCCGACCATAAACCACGAACTCCAGCCTTTGACCACAAACCCGACCAACACAACCCGATCCAGCCACGCCGCCGATAGCTGCTTCAGCCTCTGTCCAGCGTTGCCGTCCCAGCCAACACAGCCGCTTCAGGCACTGCCGCCAGAAGCCGCCGTCCTCTCCAACCACGGGCGCCGTTCCTGCTACTGCCGATCTCCAGCCACGCCGCCGATAACCTACCGGTCCTCTCCACTCGAAGCCGAAACAGCTCCACGACAGACACCACTCCACCGCGGCAGCCCCACCAAGGCAGCCACCATCGCAGCCCTGGACACTACACGCCGAGCAACAATTTGTCATCGGGCAGCCGTTTCTCCTCTCCGACTGATGAACCTTTTTCGTTGTTTGAACAGTTTTTGCTGTTTTGATCGTCACATGACGTCGTTATCAACCATCCTTCCTCCAGGCCAAAACCTAAATAACTAATTTTTTGCTCTCCGTTTTCTTCTACCAACTGTGCGATAAAGTTTTCTAAACGAAATAAACCCATGGGAAAAAGAAGAGGAGGAGGAAGAGGAGGGGGAGGCAGCAGCAAAAAGCCACTACAGAACTCGCTAGCAACGCCTAAACAGTCAATCATACTGAGTACAAAAGGCGGAAATCACAACCCCAAGTCTTTACTGAAGCTCGAACACTTGCAGAATCTTGCATCATGGGCTAGTGAAGAAGCTTCTATCCCTTCTCTTGCTGCCTTTTTTGGGCGTCAGTTTGCCTCTTCTGCAGAGGTGTTGGGTGTCCCACTCGACCCTTCTGCTTTGTTTCAGTGCCAGAGGTTAGTTTTAAACGTTTGGGCTTGGTTATATTGGTTAAAGCACGTTTTGGGTCTTTTATGTGTTATAGTTTATTCAATGACATTGTTCTTGCTTGAATGGTTGAATTTGAGTTTATTGGTGTATTCGTATATTGGCTTAAGTTTAATCAGAAGAATTTACGTTGCTGGGATTAGAAACAGTCTTTTTCTTTTTGGTGAATAGATCGTGAAGTATTATTCGTTTAAGTCATGGTACAAACATTTAAATACGAAATATGCTTGAGATTGGATTTTCTTCCCTATTTTCAGACTCGCGTGGCTGAGCAGTATGCCTTATTTTGCTTATTGTTGCCATTGCAATGGATGCGGACATCCTCGTTTCTAGCAACATTATTTGTTTGCTTTTAACTTGTATTTCTACTTTTATGAAAATGGCATTCTACTTGAATGCATAGTCTTTCAAATTTGGTGTGGCTGGTTGAGTTGAGCTTGCAAGCCATTTTATTGACTGGAGGATAACAGTTGAATCTCCATTCTTAGCTTGACCATTTTTGTTTTTGTTGTTGAAATTCAGTCTTGACATGATCACTAGGAAATTTTTTAGCCTAATTGGAAACCCTTTGTTTTGCAGGTGTGAGACATTTCTTCGGCCTGGCTTTAACTGCACAATAAGAATTGAAAAGAACCAAGCAAAGGCAAGGCGTCGACACAAGAATAATGTGGTCTACAAATGCCACAATTGTTCATGTTTTAATCAAAAGAGAGGGACTCCTAAAGGCCATATGAAGGAAATATGCCCAAACAAGCCCAAGCCACCTTCTAAATCAAAATCTGCCAACTTGGAGGAAGGCACGAGTAACAAAGATGAGATAGTTAAGGTAGATGAGACAACTTCGCCTGCAATATCTGTGGATACTTCCGTGATAGACAATTTAACAAATCCATTTCCGAGGATTGAAACAGATGAGATAATCAAGATAGACGAGACAGCTTTGCCTACAATACTTATGGATACTTCCATCACAAACAGTCCAGCAACTCTGTTTTCGAGAGTTAAGACAGACGAGATAATTAAGATTGACGAGACAGCTTTACCTGCAATATCCATGAGCTCATCCATCACAAACAGTCCAGCAACTCCACAACCAAGCAGTGGATTTTCTCCGTTGGATGCAAAGAAGAGAAAGAGAAATAAATCAGCTAAAAAACCAGAGCAATCTGAAAGCAGTTCTGCTGCAATGGATGCTGAAAAAACTGTCATCACATCAAGTAAAAGGAAGAGAAAATCTTGGACAAGCTTGAAGGAAATTGTGGAAAAAAGAACACGATAGGAGTCAACAGAGAAAAACTTTGACAAAGCCAATGTTTATTTAAAATTGGAAAATCATTTTAGCATTTTAGATGGCTGATGATATCATGGCCAATGTTTATTTAAACTAGGAAAATCATTTTAGAAGAGAAAGAGAACACAATATGTGTGTGTGTGTGTGTGTGCATGCAGTAGATTATGGAGGAAAGAACAGTACCTTTCTGTTTTATCATTGCTCTTTGTTACAAACAACAATATTTGTACTGTTACAGATTTTTGAAATACAAAAATTGGTTTGTTCACTGTTGCTGTAGCTTGAGCTCCAGCTGTGCGTTTGGAGTTACTATACCAAACCATAACTCCAAGGAGCAGTCTTGTTCTTTTGTTTCTCTTATTTTTTTCTCACAACTCAGTGTTTGCCTGCTGGTTTCTTCAGGAGAAACACAGCCAATGAAATGGGCAATGCGACTTAGAATGGCTCTACATCTTGTGCAAGCTCTAGAATATTGTACCAGCAAGGGACGTGCTCTGTATCATGATCTGAATGCTCATAGAATTGCCTTTGATGATGTAAGAATGTCATTATCTCTCAATATGTTCTGTATCTTCAGTTAGGTTTTAACAGTGTCCCTTTCCATTTCATCATTCTATTTCTCAGGAGGGCAACACTAGACTTTCATGCTTTGGTCTGATGAAGAACAGTAGAGATGGAAAAAGTTACCGTACAAACTTATGCAAGCTCTAGAATATCGTACCAGCGAGGGATGTCCTCTGTATCTTGATCTGAATGCTTATAGAATTGTCTTTGATGATGTAAGAATGTCATTATCTCTTAATGTGTTCTGTATCTTCAGTTAGGTTTTAACACAGTCCCTTTCCAATTCATCATTCTATTTCTCAGGAGGGCAACACTAGACTTTCATGCTTTGGTCTGATGACGAATTGTAGAGATGGAAAAAGTTACAGTACAAACTTCGCATTTACTCCTGAGTATCTGAGGATAGGTACTTAATTCTTTCAAAGAAGCCAAATGTTCTTGCACATGCAAGCTTCACCCTATATGGCATGTGGTTTCAATTAAATCCTGGATGGTGTATCACATTAATCATTCAAGTCCTTAACATAATTTATCCTCGTCCAGTATTTGTCTCATCAGCTATCACAATCATGGTTTCTTGATTAGTTTATCTCCTATGACTTTCTTAGTACATGGATGCTAGTGGCCACTCATTTAGTTCTTAAATCTCATTGAGAGCAGTCGTCATGTGTTTGCATATATGTCATTGATTTCTTACATTTGTCTTGACTGGTTCACCCGTAACATTGCTTACTATGACCTGCTTTTTTTTTTCCTTTTTACTGCCTTGTAGGTCTCATTCCAGATGTGGACCAACCAAATGCAGGACACATTAAATTCGAAGAAGAAAGGAGACGTTGCTTTCCGGCACAAAGATTTTAGAGCTGCCACTGAATTCTATTCCCAGGTTAATTGCTTTCTGTTGCTTTCTAGATAACCTTTGAGATTGGTTGAAGTTGATAAAATAAGTGATTTTATTAATTTGGAGAATCAAAGTAGAGGGGGCGTTAATGAATTTACAATCAAATGAGAAAAAGAGTTTATCATCATTACAGGACATTGAGATCTGATAGCAGGATTCTTTTTGTAGGGTTAATGTATTTCTGGATCCAATCAAAAATTCCAAATTGTTCTATAGATCATGATAAAAAAATTTCCAAAATTGAGCTCACAGTTTATCAATTTGCAGTTCATTGATGTTAGAACCATGGTTTCCCCAACCGTTCATGCACGCCGAAATCTATCCTACCTCATGAGCGACATGTTGCAGGAGTCCCTAAATGATGCATTGCAAGCCCAGGCAATATCCCCTATGTGGCATATTGCATCATATTTACAAGCAGCAGCACTTTTTACATTGGGAAGGGAGAATGAGGCACAAGCAGCTCTAAAAGAGGGATCAACTCTTGAAAATAAAAAGAACGCAAATGCCTGATAGGAGAAGAACAAGGGTCAAGATAAATCTCTTAGTGAATTGGTCATTTCCTTAATACGACCACCATTGATGAACACAAGCTTAATTTCAAGTCAGGATGATCCAAGGTCTCTCAAGTCTATCCTAATTCTATATATATATATATATATATATCAAAGGTCTCTCAAGTCTCAACTTCCTAGTTAGTGTTGCTTAGTAAACACCATTCAAGTACTACTTCCTCAATAATCTTAGATTCAAGATGTCCACTTGAACCCTTTTATTTCAGCTCCGGCCCTTGAAAATTGAAATCTTATAATCCATGTGATATTACGGCATTATCAGTTTCAACATTAATATTTCTTGTTGAAGGAAAGTCATACTCTTCTTGATTTCGCCATTTTTTGTGACTGATATCAGCCTTCGGTAACAAAATTAATAGAATCGCTGCACCCTGTAAATCACTAAATTTAACTAATACTTCCCACAATCCATCTTTTCTTTTTAACTCATTTGAAAACTAGTTAGTGATTTCCATGTATTTCCAAGAATTTAAAGAAAAAGAGTTTTGCTGATTTTATTTAAAACTCTTCCTCAAATAAGTTCTCAAAATATGTCCTTCAATTGAATGTGTGAGACTCTAACTATTGATTCGACAAAACTAACCATCGAAAATTTTCATTTTCTCCGGATAAAATTAATATTATTCAGAGAAAAATTAAAAATAATGTAAAATAAATGAAGAAAAATGATAACCAATCCACTTTATAACAAAACAATAATACTTTTTTTTTTGTTTGTTTGTACCCACAATTATACTTAGAAATATCCACAATCTCACAAATTCTCGGTCATCAAAGCCCAAATTATTCATACAAGACCTCTTTATTGACCTCTAAACCATAACATAAATAAATCCACTAAAAACAACTCATCCTTAATTATAGCCATAGCCATAGCCAATGACCAGATCAAATTCTCCTTAGTTCTCCATAGCCTCTTCTTCATCATAGTCCTCCTCGTTATCAGCTGCGGCATCTTGATATTGTTGATATTCAGAAACCAAATCATTCATATTACTTTCAGCCTCAGTGAACTCCATTTCATCCATTCCTTCCCCAGTATACCAATGCAGAAATGCCTTTCTCCTAAACATGACTGTAAATTGTTCCGAAACACGCCTAAACATTTCTTGGATAGACGTAGAGTTTCCCATAAATGTTGATGACATTGCTAACCCAGTTGGTGGAATGTCACAAACACTTGATTTAACATTATTAGGAATCCACTCAACAAAATATGAGGAGTTCTTGTTTTGCACATTTATCATCTGTTCATCAACTTCCTTAGTGCTCATTTTGCCTCGGAACATAGCTGAGGCTGTTAAGTACCTACCGTGCCGAGGGTCGGCTGCACACATCATGTTTTTGGCATCCCACATTTGTTGTGTCAGCTCAGGGATGGTTAAGGCACGGTACTGTTGCGAGCCACGGGAGGTTAATGGTGCAAAGCCAACCATGAAGAAATGGAGACGTGGGAAGGGGATTAAGTTCACCGCTAGTTTTCGAAGATCGGAGTTCAACTGGCCGGGGAATCGAAGGCAACATGTTACTCCACTCATGGTTGTCGAAATCAAATGGTTAAGATCACCAACTGTAACATATTTTGCATACATTCACATCAGAGACGTAACGATTTAGGTATGATTACTGACAATGATGAAAATTTGAGGTTTGGATTACTTACAGCTTGGATTGGTGAGCTTGAGGGTTCGAAAGCAGATATCATAGAGAGCTTCATTGTCAAGGACCATACACTCATCGGCATTTTCAACTAGTTGGTGTACAGAGAGGGTGGCGTTGTAGGGCTCAACCACAGTATCAGAAACCTTAGGAGAGGGAAATACTGAGAAAGTTAGCATCATCCTATCAGGGTATTCTTCCCTGATCTTTGATATGAGCAGAGTCCCCATTCCTGATCCAGTTCCACCTCCCAGAGAATGACAGATTTGGAAGCCTAATCACACCCATCAGTCATCAATTCAAGAAACTAAATTTAGAGCGTGCCAATCAATGATTAAATGGACTAAAATGAACACAATTTACCTACAGATGTGAGGATGCCGAAGTCATACCTTGTAAGCAATCACAATTCTCAGCTTCTTTTCGAACAACATCAAGAACAGAATCAATCAGTTCTGCTCCTTCAGTATAATGCCCCTTAGCCCAGTTATTTCCAGCTCCATTTTGGCCGAAAACAAAATTATCAGGCCTAAAGATTTGCCCATAGGGACCAGTCCTTAAGCTGTCCATGGTCCCTGGCTCAAGGTCCATTAGCACAGCTCTAGGCACATAGCGGCCACCACTAGCCTCATTGTAGTAAACATTAACCCTCTCAAGTTGTACTTGAGAGTTGCCAACGTAATTTCCTGTGGGATCAATCCCATGTTCATCACACACAACCTCCCAAAACTTGGCACCAATTTGGTTACCACACTGACCAGCTTGAATATGGAGGATTTCTCTCATGCTAATTTATTAGTCCTAGCTAGAAAAACACTGAAAAGGTTAAGAGGAGAAATGTAGAGACACAGGTAGAGAGGAGTAGAGTCTAGAGTGTAGAGGGAAGAGAGCGAGGAAGAATGGAATGGAGTAGGGGTTTTGTAGGAGCAAGAAAGATGGGATTTTAAGAATTTGACAGTGACTGATATTTTTCCTATCAGAAAATGAGAATTATAGAGCTAATTTAATGAATAATAAATATCATGTGTCTCTGTTAGGAGGGGAACACGTCAAACTCCAACAAGAGTTGTGAGCTGGATATGAAGAAGAAATAACAAGCTGCATCATACGTCCTTCATTCAATCTAAATGGCCAACCCTTACCCAACCTCCAATATGATTTTCTATCTCTCAATTAACATTTCTATTTTTGGCCCTCCTCTCTAAAATGATTCGTTTAAATTCTAGTATTTTTTTTTTTAATCCGCTAGTTATCTTTTGGCCACCTTTCAAATATAAAACTAAGTTCTTTTTCACTGTTCTTGCTTAGTTCATCACATCCGAATTAGTGTATTCACGAAAATATTTCATGAATTTTACTTCCACAAAGAAATTGTTTACCCTCTTGATGCCTTTTTTCATTTTTTTTACCTTCTGATCATCTCTAATTCCTTGGTAGGTCAGATTTTTACAGTTTAATAATGATAATAAAAAAAAACATATATTTTTTTAACTATTGAATTTTCCATGAATTCTGTCATGTAATAGAGACCATGAGAAAAATTTACTTATCATGCAAATATACAGGAAAATCTATTCATTATTATTTGAGATTTTTTCAGACAACTTGGTCAATCGATGACATGATATGATGATAGACATACGAGGGAGGATACTCTGGTAATGTTCTGGCAAACAAGGTGGTTATACAACAAAAAATAAAAATAAGAATCATGGTGTAAGATCGCATTAGTGATTTTTAAGATCAAATTAGGTGCCTGATTAGTGATATAAAACCTAAGAAGCTTCAATTATTGTAGGACACGGGCCTTCCCTGTCATCAGTCTGTCTCTTCTTAAATAAGTATTCTTTCTGGCCCTCCTTCCAGCCCCTCCACAAGGACTTGTTGGCTTCTTGATGTTGGAATCCTATGCTAAGCCATCCCTGTAATATGATAAATGGTTTCACTTCACCTGATGAAATGAGATTATTGCAGATACTTTATAATCCTATAGCTGTAGCACAAGGTTCAAATATATATATATATATATATATCCCAAAGAGCCAAAAGAGAAAAATTGTGAATCAGTAATTTGCTTCTAATATAATTCATTAATACCTAAATAGATGCAAATTGGCATACTAGATCTCACTTCCAAGTTCCATCATCATCGATCCGTTGCCGCCTAAAGTGAAAGGGAAAACGATAGCAGACTTTATTTTGACTTAAAACCTTATATTACCATTTTATTTTACTAACAGACAAAAAGGTGGCAATGGCATGAGATAAGATTTGATGATATTCACAGATATTTTTCTGAAAATTTGCTGTTATAGCATCCTTTTCAAGTCATTCAACACCTACTCAAAAGTGGTAGGGATAATGGGCAGTCCCCATCTAAATTATCACCTTCTTATGCTAGGATGTTCCCTCCACAGCAATCTCACACCTCTCACTCCATTCCAGCCAGATGCATTTGACATGACCTCCTCCAAATCTTTCCCTTGGTTAGGATACACCAAACAAATAAAATAAAATTTATGCATCAATAAGAAGTGAATACTAAACAAAACAATTGCATGTATAGCTTCCATTATCAGACAGAAAAAAAAAATGAAAGAGAAGATGGTAACGTGGTGGGGTATCTCTAGTGGGCATGGGTTGCACGTGGTACCTGTTGGCAGCCACATGGCCTAGTCATGAGAAGTGACCTGAGACAGAATAGACGTACAAGATCACATAATAAGGTTTCAGGGATACGGAAGGGAAACCATGGTTTAGCAAATGACCATTAATTACTTCCTAGAAAAGCCTAACATTGAAGGACCTACTATGGGGAAAATGTGGGATATTATCTGAAGCGCACAGACCTTTTATCAAATGAAAGCTAGTTAGCACCATTCTTAAAATGAATTAGACGGATTATTTTCCATGCATCAATGTTTGAACTGATAATAGGAAGCATTTTAAGTTTTGATGCTCCTTTCATATTTATGTTGCAACAATTTCACCAACCTCACCATCCATTTGCATATTGTGATCAGTGAAAACCCGGTTAATTTGTGAAAATGGAGTCAATCTATCAAATGGGTTAACCATTTCCATCAAGGATGATCAGAATGATGATGCACGTTACCATGAATGCTTGTGATATGCATACAATCAGCTTGTTATTGCTGTGGAAAGTAAAAATACATTCACTCACTCCCAAACTATCTGGGTGTATTCAATGAGAGTTTCACGAGAATCCTCGCACCGAGGAGTTACATTGCAATTTATTCGGTGTAAGACAAACTATCAGTAACAGTAGAAGAAAGTAGTTCAGAACAGAAACAACAAGGCTGACACCCAAAAAGAGAGAGAGAGAGTTACACAGTAGGACACTGCTGCGATGCTACAAAAATCTAATTCACTCTAGTAAAGTAGCTCTTCAAAAACAGGGTCTATAGACTGCCCCCACTTTCCATGATAAAGTTCCAAAAGCTTCTCTGCTGGTGTTACGCCTGCCATAAGATTATCAATCATCATGACCATCAAGAAACTAACTTGTGCATGCTTAATTTACTTTCAATTACTGGGGAAACACGCAAAAACAAATGCATAAACGTTACTCAAGTTACCTGTGCTAACCACCTCAGCCACTGCATTCAAGAAACCAACTTCCTTAAAGCCTCTTCTTTCTAAGCCATCCTGCAGAAGAATTAAGTGTGTTTTGAGAACAATATTTACTAACTGAACAAGCGCAGAATGCAGGTTAACTTAGCCAACTCCCATTATTGAGAAAAAAGGTTACCTTAGCCAGCTTTAGAACTTCTTCTGCAACATGTCTCAACAGTCCATCCCGAAATGGTGTCTTTAGACCTGTCTTAGGAACCTACTAAAACAATTTTATGTCAGATTCGCTGTCATGATTACAGAATACATACAGGCTGCATCTCTGTTGTAGGATAAAATTAAATAGCAAGCAAGGCCTATCCTAACTAACACCCCATATGGTCATATAAATTTGATTCCATGACAGATATCAAAACACAAACCCATGTCTCTAGCAATGTCAGGTTTCATTGAGTTTGCCTCAGGAACATTGAGAAAACATAAATGAAAGTCTCCGCAAAAATTGAACTTTACATTGTCTATTAGTACACCATATTTTGGATCCTTCTATGGCAGCCTATTCAAAATCCAACAGAAGAAATGTCGACAGGGAACACAAATCTACCCAACAATTTTAGCATTGGACCATAACAGGGTAATGCTCTTTTGCCTATATTCAGTTTACTGCATGACATCCTAAAGAAAACATCATAGCTGGTACGACTCTTGCTCAAAAAATACTTCAGCAGATATTGTGTGAGGCATATTATGATTTCAGTAATGAAGATTGAGAGTTAATCTAACATTGTAAAAGTGTTTGGGTTACCTTATTCCTTAACATTTGTCTTTCTTCAGGAGTCCAGTCAGCTGTCATGTCTAGAACACTTTGAAGCGAGTCTTCATCATATAACAGCCCTACCTGACATTGGAAAAAAATATATATCAACATGAGCTGATATTGTTTAAATGAGGCAGTAATAACATCCTCTATTCAATTATGAAGAATATGGATCTGCTGCAAAAGGTTGCCAGACTACAAAATGACAAAGCAATGAAACATGCTACAGGAACAAGATTAAAATCTTCAAGTTTCACATCCTTGCTGCTGTAACTGTTCTATGATTATATCACATATTCTTTATACCAATGTTCATTCGATCTAAAATTCGCTAAAATCACGTCAGATATAGACAATCATGAAGCCAAAAAAGAGAAAGAACTACCCAAAATGCTGGTAACGCACATAACCTCCTCCAAGGCCCTCCATCAGCACCCCTCATCTCTAAGTATCTCTTCAACCTGACCTGAATGAAATGAGTAAGTGATAAGCATTAAATGAGCCAAGATCATAACACAGTATCTTTAGCAAAAGAATCAAATTGCACGCAATTTAACCTCAGGAAATATTGTTGTCAAATGGTTTTCCCAGTCATTAAGATTTGGCAATTCACCAGGAATGCAAGGAAGTTTTCCTGCCAAAAAGTCCTGCAAAAGTTTAAATTGCAACCATTATTTCTTGAAAAATCAGTAGCTTGATTTAATGGACAAGATTCCTACAAAACTGATGCAAATTTCAAAAGCCTTAAATTACAAGACTATAAAGGATAGATAGAAACCCGGAATGACATTCCAGTACAGTCAATATACTTCTTTTTCCGGTAAACAAAATACATTGGAACGTCAAGAGCATAATCAACGTACTGCTCAAACCTGCAAAGGGAAAAATTAAACAGAATCACCATCATAATCAACTTCACGCACTGTGTGCATGTGTGCACACTTGTTTATGCAAGTATTCATGCAAACCGTATGAACTTAAGCTTGCAAACACGCGTTGATGTAGGACAGATTTGAGGTCTCTGTTCTACAAAAGATTTGAGGTGAGCTAGGGTTTATTGTTTGTGAAAGTTGGGTAGAATAGAGATTGTTTAGGAAGAAATAAGGAGAAATTAGGCTGTGAACAGTAATTCGCAACATTGTAGCAGCAGATAAGAAAACAAGAAAGAAGAGAAAATAGGAGAATAGAAGAACAAGAGAACAAAGAAGAAATCTTGGCAATAATCCTTCGAGCAATTAAAACGTAGCATCTCTATTTATAGAGATTAAGACTGTAAAAGACTACGTAACTAATCCTTACTTGAATAGGAAATAAACTAAACAGGAATAAACCATTAAAGACTAAGACACTAAATTCCTAAATAAACCCAGACCTTCAAGTAATTCTAGAAATTACTAAAATACACATGATTTGCAGAACATATTGAAATTACAATTCTGTCCCTGCTTACAAAATAACCCATAACCCAAGACTGTAAACCCCAAAGAAAGAAATCTACCAAGGACACTCATTTTTTTTTACCATAAAGTCTTCTTGCTTGACGAAGAATCACTTAATGTAGCTTCATGTTTACAGAGTGGAGAGTGTCTCTCTAAGTATAACATAGTTACTCCATCATGCATGCAGCATGTATTTGTATGCAGGAATGCATATATTCCCTTAACACCTGAATCACAAAATGATAAGAAAATGGGATTGATGCTAGCCATGTTGAGTCTTTTGAACTCAGTAGTCAGGAGTCGTGATGACTCTTCTTAATCTAGCCATGTTGAGTCTTTTTAACTCAGTAGTCAGGAGTCATGATGACTCTTCTTAATCACAAACAAACTAGCAAGGAGCAAAACTGTACATGTCATTAAATCTATATGTACACAGATAAAGATCATTTGTGCTCATAATTGATGCCACCTAGGTTCCTGTACATCACAATGTTCAAAATAACAAATAACTCAAAAATGCAGATTCTGTACATGGACTTCCACATAACAAGTTAAACTTACCCAAAGGTGTCATCAAAAACAAACGGGAGCATGCCAGCACGGTTGTTGTCAGTATCAGTCCAGATATGGCTGCTCAGGTATAAAGAAGTAACTAAGAAGCCCATGGGAAATAAGTTTCATATTAAGTACAACAGTACAATTCCGTTTATAAACCTTCTCATGCTGAGGTAGCCATTTGGTTTTCCTTCAGTGAAAGGTGAGTTTGCAAATAGAGCTGTTGCTATCTGTTTATTTTCCAATAATAAGAAATCACAGAATCAGTTAAATTTGCAGGGAAAAAAAACAAGCAGAACTTACAAAAGCTTCTCACCGGCTGCAAAGCAAGGCCAGCACGAAATTTTCTTATCATGTCAGCTTCAGAACTGAAGTCCAGGTTAACCTATTGAAAGTCAATTTTTTATATATAGAAGTTATCAATATACATTAGAAAAAATTCGTCAAACACATAAAAAGGAAATTTAAGCAAAATTAGCCACCAGGCAAGAATTTGCTTCAAAATGACTAAACCAGTGAAAAAGCAAAATTTATGTAACCTGAACAGTGCAAGTCCTAAACATCATATCAAGTCCTAGTGATCCAACTTTGGGCATGTAATTCCTCATGATATCATATCTTCCCTGAAACAGAACACATTTCAATAGACAAGCAATCAAAATTTACAAAGGCAAGCATAATTATAAACAGCACAAGAAAAAAAGAAATGAAGCAGAAAAGAGGAAAAAATGTGTTAAAAAAGGTATTAATGGAAAGACCTAGCACCACAGGGATAGTAAACATAAATTAAATATCACTGTTGGCGTTTCATAGGATAGATTGGAAAGAAACCTCTGTGGTGAATTCCAATCCTTAAAGCAGTCCACATATTTTTCAAGGCTTTTTCCTCTTGACATGAACACTTAAATCAGGCTACTTATGCAACTTTAGATGGCTTATAGAAAGAAAATACTAGGGAGTGTAGTTGGCTGAATAAGTCAGCTTAAAGCCACAAAACTAAACAATTCTCATTAGATTGGCATAAGAGATGAGAAAGCTCAGAGACACAATCTGCCATATTTAACGAAGAAGGAAGCATTCATAGCATACTGTAAAGCAGGAATCAACATGGTTAAAAAATTTTGCCCCCTCCTCCTCGCTAATATAGCATGTTTGGTTCCGTTTTTTGGATAATTTTAATTTAATCCTTGAAAGATGAAAAATATAACCTCTTTTCAACCCTACACAGATAGAAAATTTGGTCCTCTTTCCTCAAAAAAAAAAAAAACAGATAGATCCTTAAAGACAATTAATTAATTTTTTGACCCTACAGAAGATACAACTTGATATGTTTAAATATTTGTTCCTCTACTTTTTCATAGGAAAAATATTCAAACCCCACCCCACCCAACCCCGGGGCGCGCAGGGCCCAATTTCAATAATCCAAAATCCAGCCCTGCTATGAAGGTTTGACATGCAAAAGCCAAACATGAAACTGATGAATCAATTTAAAAAAACCAAGAATATATACGCATATGATCATAATTTTATTTATTCTATCCCTTTCGTTAACGAAGGAAAAAAAACACACATAAAAAGTTAATAAGGGCACATTTGTCTTAAATGAAAAGCATGTTCAAGCTCATCCCATGACAACTATTATCTTTCACTTTCCTTAGTAGTCCATTTCTTAATATATGTCCATCCAAGTTGACTGGATGAAAAAGAGAATAAATTGATTGAATTAGTATACCTTGGGCATAACAGGTATGTCTTTAAGTCCCCATTTGGGCTGGAAGCCAATTCCTAAGAATCCAATTCCCATTTCTTCCGCAACTGCTTTCACCTGGTAAAATTAACATAGTAGGATGATAAGCTCAGAAGGATAGTGTGTGTATTTTGTAAGACATTTGAAAACAGAAAAATCACCATCAAACACTCTCATATTCATTCATATGATGTTACAAGGTTGTACAACAAAGCTTATGCAAAATGAGCAAACAAAACAAAATTATAATGCCGCCAATTAATAGAATTCAAGTCAACAAATTCATTCAAGTATATAACAAGATAAACATGAAGAGTTGATTTAAAGTAAAGGAATGAAAAATTTAGAGAGAGAGATCCAAAGCATAAAATCTGGTATATTTTGGACGGTGAAGTGGACTCAAGCAGAGCACATATCCGTGCAAGTATAACTTTTTCCCCCACACATGAAGAAAAACAGAGGATTCGACAGAAATAGATCATGTAGGAGTTTCTCAGACAGTTTTTTGCAAAAAGGCACTTGTCCTACTACCACAACAAACGCAGACGTTGAATTAAACTCAACACAGGTCATGCAAATGCTAATGTATAATAATCTCAACTTACCTGATAAAGGTGTGAATTGACCTCAGCACACGTTTGATGCAAAGTTTCAAGAGGTGCACCACTGAGCTCAAACTGACCACCAGGCTCTAATGATATACTTTGCTTCCCCTGGCCACAACAATTAAAGCCACATAATCCACAATCCCGGTGCCGTTTGAGAAAACAGCCCAAATAATTCCAGTGTAAGATATGCAACTAGCTTGTATATAAACAGTAGAAAAGAAGTCCAGAACAGAGTATAAGATATGCACAAGTACGAGATGTAGCTAGCTATGGAAAAGAAATGAAAGTAACCATGATGACCTTTTACCTGTTTAAGTCCTATGATGTTGTCACCTTCCATAATTTTGTCCCAGTCAAATCTCTCAGCAATACCATGAAGCAACTCTGCAATTTGTTCGTATTTCATAGGACGTGAAGTTCCAATCTCAAAACCAAACTTCTCGTGTTCTGTTCCTATTCTGCAAAAGTAACACATTTAAATGAGCAATGCCTAGGGTATAGCTAAAACCAGAAATCAAGTAAAAACCCCAATAATACCGAGTATCAACCAAAACAAAATGAAATGGAATATAAACAAGTTTGTTACCCAGGGCAAGGAGCAAAAAACTCTTCTTTACCAAAGCACTAAAGATGAGATAGACTAGTCAGAAGGGCAGAACAAACCCTTCCAGCTATATGTTTGATCAACCATTTGATGGATACCGAGCATGACATGTGTAAGAGTATCTCAATTGCAAAAATTCGGGAATCACTATGATTTGCAGACTTAAGGAACAGTAAAAGGGCAAAATAAAGAGCCTTTTATACATGCATGATTTTGACAATAGACCACTTTTCCTTGGGGTTGTAGACAGCGAAAAGTTCTCCAGCGACCATTCTAATCCAACTACAATCAGGAATTGAAAATTTACCTCCAATTTTCCTTAGGCTTGCAACCAGAGGCAAGATATCCAATAAGATCCTCTTTTGTTAGTGGTTCTGCGGCAATGACAGTATCTTCTGTAGGAGGGCTTGCAGCAACGACAACTCGATGCCCTCTTTTTGTTCCTACTGACGAACTCTCTGAACTCAGAATCTGAGGTGTCTTGCTAGAATTACACGATAATGACGAGAATCTGGAAGGTGTTTCCTTTAGCTTAGATGCATCAATGCTACCAGCCATACCAATAACCATATTTTGTGCAGTTTTGCAGTGGCTTATCTCCGTAGGTATACAGTATGATGAACCAGCCTGAGAAACCAGCGCCATGCCTGCAAGAACCGACATCCATCCTTTCAATTACAACTTACAAAGTCAAAATCAATAGGAACCAAGCATCCAGAGAGAAAATTATAAACACAAACAAATTATATGTCACCAACTGTAAAAAATAGAAAGCTAGTTATATATAACTTATTCAGCTAAAGTTAAAGTGTGTTGCAGCTCCAAAAAAATCAGTCATTTTGTTTCACATAGTCTTCAAGGTAACATCTGTGCACCTTCTATATTTTAATCACTGCAGACAATATTGGAGGCAAAAGGAAAATATATCGCACGATAACACATTCAATAGTTTCACATAATGCCCCTTATCAACTTTATCATTCGCTGATTTTACTACTTTTAAGTAACCAAAACACAAAAAAGTTAATGGAAATCACATGATACTCTTATTTAAAAGCTTAGCTGTCCATTTCTAATTCATTTACATTTTCAATGTTCAAGAAACAGAAAATGCTCCAGTTATGTACAACGCTGCCTATCATCTCAGGATAAACAGAACCCACGGTAGCTTATCCAATTAAGTATAAGAACACAATCCTTTCATGTAAATTAGTAAGAAAAAAAACATAAACATGGTATAGAATTGAAATCCTCCACTTCTCCTTACCTTCACAACACCCAATTCACCATTCAGCATCACAATATTCATCAATTTACATTACATTTCTACCACTAGATTAAAAAACAATAATACAAAAAAGGGCTTTGCATCAACAGACCAGTAACACAATCAAAGAATCAAATGAACCTAAAACTTATCGAAAAGGCATGTTCTTTATTATATAAAAGACAGAGTTTTTACCTTAAAGAATAAGAGAAAAACAAAAACAATTCTAGGATTCGTAGTGATTGAATTAGGGTTTTAATAGTTGCAGGTTATGATGGATTGAAGAATTTTTGAGAGAGGTAGCTAAGAAAGGAGAGAACTTTTGTTGGGTTAGTTTTGTAGCGTAAGTGAAGAGAGCAAAAATCAAATTAGTGCGGCACTACAATGGTGCAATGCTTGCTTTGCTTTTATGGACCCTTTTGCTGGGCTTCTTACACGTCAGCACTTTTATAGATTCTCCAGGCAAACGTAAAATGCACCCGTTTAGTGCGTCTTGTGATTCCTTCTTTCTTATTATTATAAATTATAATTATATTATAAATTATAAATAAAATTTAAAGTATTATTTATTTACTGTTTGAAACAATTTTCATCCCATACTCGTTTTACTAATTATTTAGACTCTGCATTATTTCTTTCATTATTAATAATATTTTTCTAGTTTTTAAATATTTTAAATATATTTATTATGAAAATTTTCATGATATTACACGTTAGTCTTTTTTTCTAAATATGATTTTTTTAATCCTCAAATATTTTTTGTTTGGTTTCGATCCTTCTTTTTTGTTTCATTTTCATTACTTTAATCCTTTTTTTCTATAATTTTTTAAATAAAAAATTATAAGGTAAAAAAATGATTACAAAATTACAAAATAAATTTTTAACTAGGAATCCATTAGTTTTGATATTCTTTATACTATTAAATAATTTTTTTGATAAAAAAATTTATGAAAAACATAAAGAATAATCGGTCAAATATAAAATTTGATGTATTTTGATAGACGCACAATATAACACGGGACATCAAAATAAAATAATTTTTAAAAATAATTTTATGTATTTTGTCCGACTTGTAGCATAAACGTGTAAAAAATCTAATTATACCTAAATAATAATAATAATAATAATTCTCATTATTTGTTTAAAAATTCAAGGTTTTCTCTTATATATATATATAACAAAAATTTGTTGTTGAAGCTGGGCTGTCACATACCCTAGACAACAGAAATCTTCCATCATTGTATTCATGTATTTAATAATTAATAAATTATCACAAAATTCGAATTCAAAGGAAAGTAAATAAACATTTTAAACTAAAAACAGCTACAAAAATACTAAACATGCGCTAAATAACTTATTCCGGCCGCCGTCATCTGCGAGGAAAGCTATGACGTGGATGATGATGATGATGATGATGATGATGATGTATTTGATGACCGCAACATCAGAAATAGAATAAGCCTAATAATCACATGGGCCTCGGATTTAGAAATCTGATGATGTATTTGATGACCGCAACATCAGAAATAGAATAAGCCTAATAATTACATGGGCCTCGGATTTAGAAATCTAGTAGTACGAGGGCCAATAAGAATAAAGCATACTTTTTTATACGAAAAAACGTGAATAAAATATTGGGCTAGCCGAAAGCTCATCAATGAAGATCCCTGGTATCTGCCCACTACCGATGGAGCTTGTTAGTTTGAATTAGTTAAGTACAACATTTTTGCTCGTTACAGTTTTTCAAAAAAAAAATCTTTTTACTTCTTACAACGCTTGAAAAAACTATTAATTATTATATCATATAAATATTGATTTAAAAAATCTATCTAAAATTAAGATGATAAATAACAAATTATTAAGTTAATTAATAATAAATTTTAAAATAATTATGAAAAATAACATACTGATATAAATATTTCACTCTTAAAATTTTGACATGTATTAAAGTTCCTAAAAACTAAATATTTTTTTATGTAACAAAAAACTTTATCTGATAAAATTTTTATGTAAAAAATATTGATATGTATAAAAAATCAAGTGTTTTTTTTTTATCAATTAGAGACATTTTAAAAAGTATATATATTATTCAATTTTTTACTAGACAAATATTTTAAATATATATATATATATATAGAAAATTTCTTTAGAATAAAAAGAGTATGAAATGGTCATTCCGCCTAAATTTAACTGCATATAATTTGTTTTCACTTACTATTATGTAACAATATTTTATAGTTATTAAAATCTGAACTTCTTCAAGTAAACAAGTCATTATATATATAATAGTTAGATTAAATCTATATATATTTTAATTGATATATAGTTAATAGATGATAAAATTCTTACTAACAAGAATAAGCATTAACACAAAGATTGTGTAAATTGTTCATATAACTATCATTCGAATTTTATTGTAAACAAGTTTATATTTTGTATTGTTATTTAGAATTTGAATTTATATAAAAAAAAAGGTCTTAAAATAAATTTACAAAAACTTAATTTTAAGACAAGAAACGGGTTGAAGAATATCATGATGTTTGATAATTATTAGAATATGCAAAAAATGATGTGATTATCTAAACACTTGACCATTAAAACCTAAAATATTATAAACAAGGGTCTTCATTTTATTTTTATTTTTTTATCAAAAATAGTCAAACAAAAATTATCGATTGCCCTTTCCAAATACGGACACGTTTCTAGGTTCCTTCACGGGAATCGGTTACTTCTACTCATCTTTCACTCGTCCCGGCGGCTTAGACCTAGCCAAAGACAACAACAAATGTTCTGGTACTTGACTTTTCTACCCGTAAGACGAATCTTTCAACAACCATTACCATCCAAACTATCTTCATTAAAAACTCAATCCAGGTGGATTTTTTTATTGGTGTCGTGCTGGTCCCAGGAAAACCTACGCTGATTCGAAAATAGCTTATGCCTCTCTCTCATCTTGATTTATCTTAGGAATTATAATGGATCGAATATTAATTATTCGTTCTGTTCATCCAATAAATGTTTATTTAAAATATTTAATGGATATGTATATATATATATATATATTTTTTTTTTGATAAATTATTTTTCACATGTATTAAATAAATATTAAATTGATGAATAAACTGATATGAGCTGTATGAATCGAATAAAATTTATATAGTAATATTTTAATGAATAATGGATAAAATATTTTACAAAAAAATAAGGTAAAAAATTAAATTAATGACTCGGGTATCCCTTTATTATCATCCTCGAATTATATAATCCACATTAGATAATATCAGTACTCCCCTATTCCTCAATTCCATCTATCCATTATTATTAATTAAAAAATGATGTCCAATTTATTTTTATTGGGTCAAATACTTTTATCCGAAATGCCAAAATTAATCTCAATTTGTTTTAAAAAAAACAAACAAACAATTTTAGAGCCAAATATAGTAAAATTTTCTCCATCTAACTTTTTTTACGACCCAGTAAAGTGGAAGTAAATTATTACGATTTGGTGTTTTAAATAAAAATATTTAATAAGTACGTACAAATTTAAATTAAATAAAATCTTGTAATTGTGGGGATAATATTGTTTAATGTTAGACTATGTTTAAGACAAAATTGATACAAACAAAATGATTGAAACTCAAATTGATAATTGAGTAATATTTTATGGGTTAGATAGATGTGTGTTATAAAATCAATAATCATTTCAACAAATGCCAAGGGACCTGAACCTGATCAAGTTCCGTATGATTTGAATTGCTGACAAAACTGCAAGCCAAACAAACTCTAATCGTCAGTTCCCTTTGAAAAATTATTTTTTCAATTGTTTACTAACTAGTAAATGTTTAGAAAGAAAAAACGAGGATTTTGGATATTATATTACATAGCTAATGATGTATAGGTTAAACAATATATATACAAACCAAGCAGGGTCCTTGTTTTTCAAATAGAAAACCCATTTTAGAGTACTCTTTCTGATTTTATTTTTTATTTTTCTCTAGAAAAATAAAAACATATTTTTTTTTCCAAGAAATACATGACAATTTAACTTTATTTATTTTTATTTTTATTTTTTTTGGAATGTGGCTTCTTATTTTCTAAAAGAAAAAAAAATGGAAATTCTATATAATCAAACATCACCGCTCCAAATAAGAAGGAATCTTGCTTAAATTTAATGACCTCAACCGAAACGGAGAAATCTTTACTGGTTATCGATATAAGTTTACGGATTTGATTTCAACTGATAGTTATACGAAGCTGGTAATGCATCCGTCCGTAATTTGTAAAACATATGCTCGAGAGAGGGATTTGGATTCGAATCTCTTTCTTAAAATAATAATAATAATAATAATAACAATTCAGGGTCTCCGACTCTCCGTGACTCCGTCCAGCGTCAAACGGCGGCTGAGCCCGGCCTGAACTTACATCTTGTATTAGGACACAGGTTGGGGATGCTTTGGGCTGAGCCTTGGATGTTTTAAATCCAGATCCACGAGAAGCATTGGGCTTTAAAGTCTTTTGCTACTTTATGCAATTTTGTCCAATTGGGATTGTACTAACAAACTTCCATTTTTCTTGTTTTCATCTTTTTTTTCCCTTTCCTTTTTTTATGGTGCTAGGAATAATTCTTTTATGTTTTGCTGTGCGTTCGTGACAATTTGGTGGTATAGGTTTCCAGGCTGGGCACCAACCCAAGGGTCACCCTTCTAAATTATTGGCCCTAAATTAGTGGTGTCATAATCAGAAGAACAACAAAATCAAACATCCTTGCATCTAAATTATTAATATAAATAATTTTTCATTCTCCTTCTGGAATGGAATGCCAACGTGGACTCATAAACATCCTGGTCATTGGTCCCTTCGGATTAGAACCCAAAAGAAGCATCAAAGAAACTACAGTACCAAACTATACGAACAACAGACCAGGACCATAGTCCCCAGCCTAGGAAAATCCAATATGAAGCAACTCCAATTTTCAACCAAAATTACCAAAAAAAGTTGATAACTTGACAAAAGGGGCACTTTGCTCCTATCTCCAACTCCGTCTAAATCGAGTAACACAGTTAATGATTTTACATGGAGGGATCTAACAATTGTAGAAGTCAAATCATTGGCTCTTGGATTAGAACCCAAAGGAAGCAAGCAATGTAGCTACAGATGCCAAACTGGTCAGTCAAACATCCCAAACCTTCGAGAAACCAAGGATTTTATGAAGCAACCCCAACCTCCAAGGAAACATGCCAAATGTCACAAACTAGCTCTCAAGTCTTAACATAATCATCTTAAGCACTTAACTCTAAATAAGCACTTCGGTTATTGAGATTGTCAAAGAATGGTGAACAATAAGAAAAATAGAGACCACACTGAGTAGTGTCATTAACGATTGCAGATACAGTTGAAACAATTCTAAAAATTCAAACAGAAATAGAGAAGCAACACAAACATATCGAAACACAATCATATACATGGTACGGATGATACATACATCATTATGTAATGCAAGTCCAATGCAGACTGCCTTTTTTTTTTCATTCTTTTCTGTTTTTCTTCTATTTCCCCTTTCTACTTTTTAATCTTTTTATCCTTATACACGGCTAGGGAGTCATTGGTTTGCAGTGATTATAGGGAATATAGAACAATTTTTTATCAAGAATTGGATAAAGCACAAAGTAAACTATACAATTTATAAAGAGTTACCAGAAAATATCATCAACTCCCACTGAGGTAGATCGATCATTATCCTCCTCCACCTCCATCTCTGGCTCAGGAGGCCCAAATTCTGGCGATTCAATATCAGCAAGATTCTTCAGGTCAACAATTGAAAGTTCATCTAGTTTCCTCACCACCAAGTCTGCAGCACCAAGCTCATACGTAGGATGCTTGCTAGCAATAGCTACACACTTCATAAAAGCATCATGGGCAGCCTCCACGGTCTGATTAGAGTTCCCAAACACAATACAGCGCTGTGGTATAAAGTTTAGAAGCTGGGCTGCATAAATAAACATCTCTGGATCAGGCTTCCCCCTGTGAACATCTTCTGCAGCTACAATAGCAGTGAAATACCCTTCAATCCCAAAGGTTCCAATTGCATTCTCAAGAGTCTTTCTTGGACGTGTGGAAACCAATGCCATTGGTATCTTGTAATGCATCAAAATATTCACAAACTCCTTTGAACCAGTTCGTAATCTATATATCCCACCTTGCAGAGATTGGTAGATTTCTTCTTTCCTTGTCGCCATTCTTTTCATCTCGGCCGGGTCTCTCGACCAACACAAGACTTCGGAGATCGCTTGCTCGTTCTTCATCCCTTCTACTTTTCTCAAAACAAAAGCTGGAGGAGCAGGTTTCCCTTCTTCTTGAGAAAGAGAAAGCCAAGCTTGCCTCTCAAGATCAGGATTGTCCTCAATTATCACACCCTCCCACTCAAATATAGCACCCAACCAACCACAACCCATCCTTTCCTGTCGAATCAAGGGGTTATGCAAAGAAGGATTATCTGCTCTATTCTCCGGTGGCCACAAACCTGGTTTTCTATCAACAACAGTATCAACTCGGTAATTCCAAGTCCGTGGTATTCTCTCTTCCTCTCTATATGAATACGCCTCTTTCGTAAGCTCTGTTGCCAGAGCCTTAATCGAGGTATTAACTAACCTTTCAATTTTCAATCTTGGCAACATAGGAGAAGAATAAACAATCCTTTTACCCACAAATTCTTTTACCAGAAACCGACAACTACTCAAAGATTTCCTCCTGTAAGAACCATCCTTAACAGACAATCCCCCTCTCAGTGGCCTATACCCAATAAGAGATGTTGCAGCAATTGCATCCGGCATGTTTACCAGTTCTCAAAATAGCCAAACCCACCAACAAATTTCAACACGATTCTAACCTAAACTTCCCCAAACTCAATCCCTACCGAACCGTACACAATTTAAAATTCACACAACAGTAATCAGAACTACACACATCAACATCAAATTAATACCTAAGGTTTTAGACAGAAAGCAATACAAAGTCCTATAATAATATTCTTTAAAACCTTAAAAAGAGACTAAGAATAAAGCAGAGCTTTCTTACTTCAAAAGAACCCAACTTGCTTTCTTAAAAGCCAAACCAAGCATAACCCATTAACGCAGACAATCTAAAACCTCTAACAAACAACATAAACAGCTATAAAACCTATAAAAACTGAACCCCAGAAAGCTAAAACAAAGCAAATTTATGAAAAATAAAAAAGCCGGAAAGGAAGGGATTGAAGAACCTGGGGTGAAGTAACCGTTGATTAAAAATTTGATGGATGGGATTGGAGAAGGAGAGGGAAAGGGCTAGATTCTTCGAGGAAGGAAGGGATATGTGAATATCTGTATGTGTGTTGTTTGTTGTTGAAGGAAAGGTGGTTGTTTTCTGTGGTTTATAATTACATCCAGGCTTTTTTACAAGGAGACCGGTCAAGCCGGGGGTCGGGCTTGCTGTACACGTGTCAGTTATCATGTCCCAAAACTCAAATTGTCTTACTGTTATTTTTTTCTTCCTTTTCTCTCGTTAAGATTTTCTTTGGGAAAAAAAAAAAAAACCAGAGAGTGAGAGCTTTAATTGTAATAAATATTTTGTTGCTTTATCTTTCGGATGGGACGAGATGTAAGTCCGCGACACACACAAGTCGTATGCTATTTACCACGTGTAAATAACCTGTGAAACTCGTGCCACTAAATATCATATGCATTTCAATACCAATTAACATTCTCTCTATTAGATAAGTTTTTTTAAATCAAATATCAAAATTTGTGTACTCTTTAATTGTTAATCCTTATCGGATAAGCAATTAATCAATTTTGGTCTCCAAGAAAAGTTTTTCCAGCTAGAATTTGCACTTTTATATATATATATATATAAAGCATTTTGTACTTGATTGAATTTTGTGACATGTCCGTTGGCTGTATGTATTTTTTGATGCTTTTTTATTTTTATGAAAAAGAATCTAACATGTTCGTGTAATTTTATTTGGTAAAGTGCTATTTGGATAAGAGAATCATTACCCACGTAAGTATGTTTTCGTAATTTTCCATTTATTCATTTATCTTTTATTATCTCCTTTATTTGACCTTTTTTCCCCCTCTTTATCAATCCGACTTGCATGTATATAAATTTTGCATAAGAACCTTAAAGAGTAGATTTTACAAAATAATATATATTTCAGTTTATAAACATATACGCCATCAAAATTCAAAATCGATTAGACAAAAGTATATTATTATCTTTATCTTGGGGTGAAAATAGAATACACCACCACATTCTCACGCATGCATCGTAATGTTAGTATCCTCGTACAAAGTTTAAGGGACGATCGAATAAAACCCATTTTGAACTACAAAAGGGTCAGAAATCGATATATGGTATGGTATTGGATTAAAAGCCACTTCAAAAGTAAATTAATGCTCTAACCTGCAAGATTAATTAATGGAAGGCATTTACGTGCCCATGTGTTTCTTAGTGTTTAGTGCAATGGAAGTTTGATTTGAAACTTCGTTATGGGTCCGTTCTGCACATTAAGAAAACTGAAGCTTTTTTTTTTTTTTTTTTTTTGACAAGGAAGTTAGTATTAATATCCAAAACAAATTCTAAACGTTTACTCTAATTCTCTTGTGTTTTTTAATAGAAATATCATCTGGTAATTGGCTAGGTCTGGTTACATCATTGAGAAAACCACATCTTGAATTTTGAATAATTGATTTTTTTCAAAAAATATTTGACCTGTAAATTCTTTTATTGAAGTATTCAAATTTTAATTCTTTTTCTACCCACAATCACATGACATTGAAAAATGCTAATGTCTGTGGGATGATTTGTCATGTCATATTTTTTTTAACTCACATTTTATAAAAATAAATTGTATTTGGATAATTAAAAATATCTGTATAATTTCAGTGCTTAACTTTTGATTTTCTTTTTTTTGGTATTCTTTTGGTCACTTGATACTAAAAAAATACAAATATGCAACAGTTTTTTTTTTTTTTAAAAAATACATGATCAAAATCAATTAATGTTAGTGAAATGAGCTTAAATGGTTTAGATGATCACATATTAAAACTCTTGGATCAAACAAAAGAAATATTTAGATGATGATATCTTGAAAGTGTTTTAAGAAATTAGTCAACAAACTTGCTAAGTTCATTATGATAACAGTATTTAATTTTTTTAAAAAAAATTATTTCAAGCTATTTTATTTTATAAAAGTTTCATAATTTTTTTTTATCAATAAATCCAAGTGAAATCCACTTTTTATGACGTGTTTGTTAAAAATGGTCGCATGTTAGTGAATCCGAATTACGTTAGTATTTTTCAATCTTAGATGATAGAGCTAACTCTAATAGAAAAAAAAATCTAACATTGCACACTCAAATAGAAAAATAATTAAAAACTAAGAGCTCTAATTAGAGTTTTCCGCAAAGAAATTTTATATTACTCGTGAAATAACTATTAATATTTATGTCATAAGAGAAAGACAAATAGAGAGAGAGAGAGAGAGTTTAAAAATGAAATTTGAGTCAAGATGAAAATATTTTTATCACGGATCCGAATGTAATTTTCTCTTATTTGTTTATTTATTTATCTATCTCTTTGAAAGTAAGCACATGGAGTAATTTAAACTTTCTTATGTACGAGTTAGCCACATTATTATTTTATATGACTTGAAATTAGAGTCGTTAATGGATCACGGTTCGGATTATATTATATTCAGATTTGATTTGTTTAGTGAAATCGATTGGATTGGATCTTATGAATTCGAATTGGTTTTTAAAAATATGAAATTATATTTGGATTCTTAGAAACTCGGATAGAATTCGAGCTTCATCGAATTTATCACTTGATTTATAAAAAAAATTATGATCACTACTTTTCATATATTGTTCGAATATAAAATATATTTCAATCACTTCATGTATAATAAAATATATTAAAATAATATTTTATTTATCGATTTTGTAAAAAATTTCAAAACACCACACATTCAAAAGTACAAAGTGAAATAATCTTAATAAAAATTAGATAGAAAGTATGATAAAACTAAAATAAATAAATAAATAATATTTATTTCTTGTCCTCGTGTCGACAAAAATATTTTTAATTTCGGATTTGATTCATTTAATAAATGAGTTAAAGGATTCGAATTATAGTCGATTCAGATAAAAAAAATTATTTATCAAATCAATTTAATCATATTGGATTAAGATCGGATTCGTTTACATTCCTACTTGAAATATCATCGAAAAAGGAAATTTCAATCTAGAGGCAATGAGATGCTTTCCACACTTTAGTTTCTAGAATAAAAACTCGTGCTTAAATATTTCATTGGATCGCTGAACAAGTTGGCTGTTGAAAATGACTCTATAATTAATTTCTTGTTCATTTCCAACCAAATCACAAAAAGTTTGTAATGTTAACATCCAATTAAAAAACCCAACGAAGGAGGAGATTGGAGAGGAAGGTTGGGCGATAGGAACAAGGAGATTATATTACCAATTAATACAGTGACTAATATAGCTTAATCGTTTTTAGATATATCCTAATATTATTTTCATATTGACACCACATTCACATAAAAAGATTTATTTATTTCTTGTGTGAATGCATCGATGTAAATGGTGGCATGCTAAACACATGGTAGTTCAAAAACATCTTAATCATTAAAGAAAATACATGTTGACTCATAAAGATAAAATAGCACTGAGTGATTAAATGACAAAAACTATCTACGTTTTATACAGTTAAATTTAGTATTGTGTTTTTGGTAGTTTAGTGAATTCATTCTCCATTTTTTTCCCGATGGAAGAATTATTCTCTGAAAAAAAAATTATTTAAACAAAATCTAAAAATTATGAAACTCGTCGATTCATGTCATTTTCTGTGTATGAACACATTCTGGTTGAGCTAAAATGTGGAATTATATTTTGGAAAAGAAAGACTAGCTAGTTGATTGGTTGCATGGAGGACCATTAAAATGGACATATGTCTTCATGGCCTCATAGGCATTCAATTCGTGAAAATTATGAAATTATAGAACCTTGAATCACAACTTCAAATGCTCCCAGTTGAAAACTGTCCGAATCACCTAACTCAAAATAGCTTCGAACACTAAACTTCACACCACGATGAAAACATGTGCTAAATTCTGAATTGACCATAATCATCCAATTGGAAAGGAGAATGGAAAAATCAAACCCATTATTGGCTGCCATTGACGACGACCCGTAGAAAAATTATACATACATACACACATATATATATCCTAAAAAACTAAAAGAACTGGGATAAATAAACAGTAATTACTGTTTATTTACTTTATCTCAATTCTTTTATTTGTTTTTTTTTTTTTTGGGTGCTGAACAGCAGTCGAGCCTTGGCTGCTGTTCAACCCAACTAGTACCAACCTGGCCTTCAATTTTTTTTTTTGTTATATATATATCATGAAATTAAGCGTAAAAAATATAAAAAAGTAAATCTTTATTTTTTTAATTCTACGTATAGTTTAAAAATGATAGAATATGTAAGATATTTTTTAAAAATTTTAGTTTGAATATATATATTTGATTATATTACTCTTATTGTTTAAAATTTATTTCTTCAATTATTTGTTTCTTATTAAAATTCTCATCAAATTAATTTTTGATATAATTTTATTTTTTAATAAATTTGGTTTTTTAATCTATGAATTTTGGAATAAAATTTTAGAACGTCGGTGCTTTATTTTTTAAAATATGTTATTCTAATTTATACAATAAATTATTTTTATGTTTTTTAAATGAGTGTTTTATTTTTTAAATTCGATTGTATG